CCTGCTACCAGGATATAAGCAACGTTCACTGTGAAATCTTTCTGTCCTTTTACTGTCACATATATGTCTACACATCTTCATGTTTACCTGTTTTTAAAATAAGTCCCTGGGACACTGTTCATATATTTCTTCATTTCAGTTCTCACAGTTTCCTCCTGTGGTCACTAACATACCTGTACCTAGCTAAAAGAATTTCTTCCAAAGATGTCACAGCTTTTGATGGCATTTTATTTAGCCATTTCCCTTTTGCTCTGGCCATTTTAAAACAAATGCTAATTTTACATTTTGGGATGTTTTGTCTGCCTCTATCTGTGCTCCAAGTACATGTCTTGTGCCTGCAGAGGTCAGGGAAGGTTGTTGGGGACTCTGCAGTTGTAACTGATGGTTGTAAGCCTCCATGTGGGAACTGGGAGTCAATCCCAGGAACTCTGCAGGAGCAGTAAGCTTTTTTAACTGCTGAACCATCTTTCCAGCCCCTGATGTGGCAATATTTTAGAAATACTTTATTTTTGATTATTTGTGTATGTGTGTCTGTAGGTGCATATGGGTACAGTGCCCAAAGAGTCCATAACAGGGTGTCTTATACTGGAGCCAGAGTTAGAAGTGGATATAAGCCACTGAAATGGATGCTGGAACCTGATCTTGGGTCCTCTGCAAAAGAAGTATATACTCTTGACTGCTGAGCCATCTCTGCAGCCCCCAATGTGACGAAATTTAGCTGCTGCAAACTCTACATTTTCTTTCCCCATATTTCTCTTGTGTGGCTTTCTTTTCCATATTTTATTATATGAACTGTATTTTGATAGTTATTGATGATTTCCAAGTGTTTTCTTTTTCCTTCAAGTGACTTAAGGAAAACTCATTTAGTTCATCAGTCAAACAGCTTGACATGGTGGCTCATGCCTGTAATCACATTTGGGAGGATGAGGCAGGAAAACTATGAATGTATTTCTAGGTTAGCCTGGGCTACAAAGTGATACCTTGTCTCAAAAAACAGTTTGGAAAATCAGGTATCTCATTTCATGTTAAAGACAAAAAATGTGTTCTTCCACATGTTTCTCCCATTTTAACAGTTTTGTGATTTGAACCGAGCGCTTTTGATGGATTTTATGCTCTCCCTAGGTACATAATATCAAAACTAGTGAAAAAAAAACCTTCCTAATTCAAGTAAATCCAGATGTAAGGATAGTGAACCTTAGCCCAGGAGAGGGTGGTGTAACCTATGATAGTGGGAAAAGACCTTGCTTTCAGAGATGGAACAGGAAATTGATGGACAGTTGATGTCTCAACAGGAATCATAAGATACGGAAGACAAACAAGTAATTTTACTTTGTGCTAAGCAAATAACTGCCAATAGAATACTACAGAGAACAAAATTTTCCTTCAAGATTGACTCTGTTAGGGGCTAAGGACATAGATAGGTCAGTGGATAAAGGCTTGCAGCCCAAGACCGAGGACCTGAATTTGACCCCAGAAACACATAAATAGCTGGCCATGGTGACACATACTTCTAGTTCATGAGGCAGGTGTGCAGAGCCCCAAGCCTTGCTGGTCACTGGGTCCCAGAGTTTGTGAAGAGCAACTTTTTCATTAGCATGATTATTTAAATGTGACTACTCCATCCGTAAAGACCGTTTGCAGGCCTTTATATTTTCTGTACTTGGTGACTTTCATGTTTGGTACTTACTGCTTGTAGGAAAATTGTTGCCATCATCTGGAGTTCAGCTCAGTTTTGGTTTAGAGAAGGTTAGCATTACATACGGTTGATTTAAATAGTCAAGAGAATTTTAAACTGGAATTAGGTCCACATAAAGATTGATTTCCTCAAAGGTGATCCTTTGGGGTCTGTCACAACTCTCTTATCTTACTCCCCCCCTCCCCAGTTCCAAGTGTCCACCAAAGACCCATTTCTTATTTTCTAAATCTCTTTAGCTTCCTTTAAACATAGACAGATGCTTGGGTAAAAAGCATCACCAAATTCTGGGCTTGCATCTGAGATTCACACTTTTAAAAAGATATATTTATTTTTAAAAATTATGTGCATGTGTTTGGGTGTGTGCATGTGAGGCAGGTGCAGGTGCCTGTGGAGACCAGAAGAGGGCACCACATATCCTCTGGAGCTGAAGTTACAAAGGCTTGTGAACACCTCTGTGGACTTGAACGGATGTCCTCAGGGGAAGCAATATGCTCTCAACTGCTGAGCCATCTCTCCAGCCCCAGATTCATAATGTTTTTGTGCTATGGTAGCGGAGATCTCGAATATTTAAGTGAAAAACATCGCGTGTCCTGTTTTCCTGGTTGTTCTCGGTGGAAAGGTTAGGGTAAGATGAATTACAGCTTGCTGATGCTGCATATGTCCGCCACTGGGGATGGGACCTTCGGTGAGCTGAACTCACTGCGGAATTTTGTAGAAGGTGGAAATCTGAACTATAGACAGCTGTCCCCATTGATATTAAATACCATTTTCCTAAATACTAATATATATGCCCTGTGTTAGAAATCTACATGTACATTATGTTTCTAACTAAATTTCATAGTAAGAATAATGGACAATAATCCTCAGTGTAATGTTGAGAAATCAATGCAGACACAGATCTCCCCATAACAGACGCCAGAGCATGCAACTGAGCTTGGACTTCTTCTTTCAAGACTCCCCCACCATGTGCATTATCTAAGTCCCCCCACCTCATCTCCTCTATTCCCCTGTTTGTCAGAGGTAATTAATGATAAATTTTGAGCCCACCTCAGCAATCCAGAATAATTCTGCCCCCTCTCAAATTTCTCCACTTAATTGAATTTGCAAACCTTTAAACCTTGATGACATTTTTATGAGTTCTCTGAGTTAGTCATTACCAAATGCACAGCTAGCTTGTGTTCAAATGCCTGCTGATCTCCCAGCTGAGCTCTGCTTATGCTTTGGGTTATTTCCCCAGTTGTTGAAACTAGGCACGTTGGTCTGTTGCTTTTTTTTTTTTTTCATTACCATAACAAAATACTAAAGGCTTTTAACTTTATGGAGAGGAGACATCGATTTATTTACTATTTCTAGAGATGTAATTGCAAGTTGTTTGCTTTGGTGTGGCTATGGGGAGGTTCTCCTGGGGTATGGTAGTATGGTAGACACAATGTCAAGGGCATGAGGGAGGAGTTAAGATATCAGTGAGAGATTAAGTTCCACAAACCCTTCTGAGGCTGCTCCTCCAATGACAAATCCTCTCCCTAGGCACTGCCCTGTTAAGATCCCATCAGCTTTACAGTGTCACACTGGGGATCAAGAAGACAACATGGATCTTTGATGCACATACTTAAAACATACCCATGCCATACCATGTGCTCAAAGGAAGGTGTCCAGTGTGCACTTGGGGTTGGTCATTTTTGTCTATAGGTTCCTCCTTTTCACATTTTTAATGTTTTTAGATTCTATGTCTTCTATCCAGCACAATCTCGCACATCCAGGTTTGTTTATTGCATTCCTATGACACCCCTACACTCATCTGAAACTCCCATGCTACCAGCAAATAAGTGGTTAGTATGAGAACGATCAGAATTCTAAGCAGTTCAAAGACCCAGTAGGAACAACTCACAGATAGGTTTCTTTACTTCTATTAGGGAGCCAGTAACACTTGGCTTTTCTCTTTTTGTTTGGCATTTCCTGGGTCTACCACTTTATTAGTGGTTGAAAAAAAAAGGCATTCTATGTTATTTTTTATTTTCAGTTATGATCTGGTTATGTCTATGATTAGAGGCACATGCATTTCACTCGAACCCTCTATCTAGAGTTATGGAAGAAACTGTATCACAAAAACACAATCAGCAATGAAGAAACCAGTCTCTACTTCACCAGTGTTACTTTTCCATGTTCAGGGATGTTGTCTAACTTTGTCCCTGGAGTGCAGAGGAAAAGAGGGAAGAAAATCTCCAAGACATGCTCTTCATGGTTCTAAACATCTGCTAACATTGCAGCATGTTCACTACCCAAGTTTTCCTAAGCACATGAGACAGGGTTAGATTCATCCCACCTGGTGTGTAATGTGAGCAAAGGTAGGTAGATGGTGAGATCTCCTCTCCACTTTTCTGGCAATGACTGTGCCCATCCCATGTCCTTTTAAGAGACAGTAGAGCTGGTGAAGGAGATGGAGAACTCTTGGGAGCATCTTCCACAGCATCTCCACCTCACTGAGCTGGTTCTCCACTCAGGGTTCAGTCCCAGCAGTTATACTTGTGGGACTTCTCTGAGAAGGTTCCCTCATCTCCCTGTAGACCATTTACTGCAAATCCTCCCTTCTTCCATCTGTCACCTAATTGGTTGGTTAGGATTAATTTCAGGAGGACTGGGTCCTACATGATGCTACAGGCTGCCACATGTTAGAGAAGAGGAGCAGATGACCCTCTCCTTGAGGGACATTCCTGTGGGGTTGCTTGCCTATACAAACCCACAGGAAACACTGAGAAATCCACAGGATGATGGATGTTTGTATAAGCAGAGCCAAAATTTAGCAAGAGGAGATCAGTTGAAATTAAGGGGAAAACCCTTAGAGGCTTTGTTTAGTGAATGAGCCCAAATCCTTTCTTTGTTGGAAACACAATGCCATGAGTGCAAGCATGCTGTAGTGGAAAAGTGAGGTTTGATGCTGGCTTTAAAAAGAAGCAGAGGGAAAACAACACAAAATCAGAAGAGAGGAGTTGGGCTGATCCACTTCAGGATTTCTTGATAATATTTGGATGGAAACATGAGATCCCTACTCAGGGGAGCTTCATCAAACAATCCATTGATGCCTAAATGCGTGACTAATGGTGGCCTAAATATGTGACTAACAATGGGTGCTCCCATCACCCAAAGAACTTATTTTCTTAAACAGAAGCTCACCTGGCATAATTATTCTTCTTGCATTACTACTTGGTTATAGTAATGCTTGAACAGTCATGACAGGAAGTTGCTTTGAGCACTTCCGGATTCAGATGGGGTAACCGATTCAGCCTCTCTGCTTCACGTTACTCACCGAGGTTCCGATGACAATTTCTTCCCTGGTTGAGTAGAACATAAACTCGTAGAGCCTGTAGTGCTGGAATAAGCTGAAACACAAACAGGCATGCAAACTAGCTTGAGAGAAGAGAAAATATCTGAAGGTTTGACTTGGAGGAGACGTGATTGGCTAAGCCAGAGATGGTCCATTGGCATACAGAAACCCCTCTCCTGCATTGCAGAGTAAGCTGCCTAGGAATGCTATGAGATTCATGTTTTGCTTTCTGAGTCTGAGATACTGATAGGACAGCACAGCACAGAATTTAGGAAAGCGTCAGCAGATCTATTTGTGACACAAGATTGGGAGTTGGGGATTGTTCTGGGGTGTGTTTCCTAGTTTGAAGCATAGCTCTCCCCCCTCCCCCCAAAACAGCTACACAGTCTCACCATCAGCTGCGCTTTGCTCTAGGCCCGACTCAGTTCTGGTATGAACAGGGCTGGGTTTCTATAGCCATTATGGCACACATTGTGAAAATGTTTCAAGATTAAATCAATCTCTAAGAACACCAGAAAAATGACTTGGCAAGTTCTAAAATTTGTTTTTAAGACGTCTGACTTTCCTGCAGGATGTGTGGTCACACATCACAGGCTGACATCCCTTTAAATCGATCATTTCTTCTCACCTGAAGTGACTACAGACTACAAGAGCTCAAAGTCACAAGCACTTGCAAATAAATGTCTCTGGTAAGTTAAGAGCTTGACGATGTATCATTGTGAGTTAAAAATGTTACTGAAGGGCTGACTTGTAATATCCTGTTTGTGATAATATTTGAATTTTTCTAATTCTCCTCCTGCTGGTTGGGAAAATTAATAAACTCATAATATAGCAAAATGCCCAAGAACAACAAAAAAAGTCTTAGTGGTTTTCTTTCACTCTGGTGCCTTCTGCTATTTAAGAAAATTGATTTTAATATAACTGAGAAATTAACATTTGCAAGAATGTAGCTACAGAGCATGTGTAATAATGGTTTCTCCTGGATGCTGTAATGGATCAAAGTTTCAATTCATTTGAAATCAATGAAGAAATCCTCAGGCAGCTGGGCCTCTCTGAGTTACATTAGCAGTGGAACCTCCCTGGGAGCTCAATCCATTAAAGAGTAGTGGCTGTGTGGGCCTAGTCAAGTTCCCTTTCTTCTCCGCAGACATTGAATACTTGATTTACTCATCAACATTCACAAGACTAACTTAGCTTTTGACATTGCTTTGATCTGTTGGCTAGAAAAACACAGGAAGTTAGCCAAATCTGATAAATAACTGGAGCAAAAATAAAGTCAGCTTCCTCTATCCTTTGTATTGGTGACCTAGAGAGAGAACTGATCTGGGGGGGGGGTCTAAATATCAAAGGCCATATTTGGGAACCAGCTTGCTCTCCTAAAAATGAACTAGAAAAAACTCTTGCTTTGTCCATCTTGTGCTAGACACAGAACATAGGGTAAGACGTTTCCACTAAGAAAAGTTGTAATCTTTCAGTCTTTTGTGTCTTTGTTATATAGAGGGTTAGTTAGGGCTGTCCCATGTCTGCCAAGAGGGAACTTAAGCAATGAAAACAGCATCTATGACTCGGATATGATGGTCAAAGATGCAGTAAGGAGGTGGGGCTGGGACCAGGACCAGGACCAGAATGTATACCCAGGGGAAGATGCCTAAGGGGACACTTCCTAAGGGACAGGCCAAGTTCCTTCCTTGTCTCTCTGTACCCTCTAGCTCCTCCAGAGGGCTGATAGTGGTCTCATCTGAGAATCAAGTGACAGTTCAGCCATGGGAACACGTTTGCCATATCTTCCATTGGACTTCTGTCTGACTCAAGCTTTTAGATGATGTTGTTCAACTCTCAGGTTAGATCTTAAAGCAAGATGGAATAAAAATGGTCCAAGCTGTCTGGCCCAGTGTCACACATTGTTTGGCACGAGGTGATGATGGGACTGATTTTCTTACAGTGGAGTATGTATGGTTCTCAGGAAGAACACTCAATGAAAAAAGGGTAAACAACATTTGCATTGTAAATGTATGCAATATGTATACATACACACATATGTATACACACATATATATATATATGTTGCATACACAGATAGCTTTGTGTGTGTGTGTGTGTGTGTGTGTGTGTGTGTGTGTGTGCTTGTTTAGATTGCATAAGCAGACAACAGTAGTACCCTGCACTAATGTTGAGAAGAAAGTTAGGCTTTAATGTTTCCAGACCATAGGTATAAATGTATCATCTAGACTCAAGTGAAAGTATATGAAATGCAATTTTATTGACAAGTTAAGTTTTATATTGCTGTATGATTATTCTCTCCGAAGTGCCACATTCCATTCTAGATATTTACAAGACTTAGAATAACAATAAGAATTATGAGGCAGAAGAGATCCTGAAACCAGGGGCTCAAGAAGCCTAGAAATGACAAAATTCAGAGGTCCCACTTGGTATAAGGTTATTTAAGGAATAAGCAGTCTCAGGAGAGGGGTGAGTCACTGATAAAGCTACCTGTCACATTCTGCTGGGAGATCAAAGGATGTGACAGCCATAGGTTGTCACCTATGCTGGTTGTGGGGTGGGGGTGGTTCAGCTGTCTTTGAGTCACCCATATTCCCGGAAGTAATTCTAATTAAGCCCTTATTTCACTAAGCTGGGTATGGGCAGAATTATATGGTTGGTCTGTTTGTCTGTCCTCTGGGGGTGAAAAGGAATTTGTTCATGCTTCTCCAGGAATAGTAATGCAATGTACATGCTGTGCCATGGTTGAAAAACTTGGTCTCTTGAGGGAGAGACTGAAGCACACATACTTTTGATAGTTTAGTTATCTCTATCTTTATAAAATTTATTAATTGTTGAAATGAATATGTTGTGCAATTCCACTGCTAGTAAATTTCTATTTGTGCACACGTGAAGGATTCTGGACACTAGTGGAAAGGCTCACAATGGTTCACACAACTTCATTACCAATTCCAGATATTCTAATCACTGGTACTTTTTCTCTTGTGTAATAACTATATTTAAATGCATAGTTTCTCTCAAATCACAATGTGGAGATTTAACAGTATTACATCTGGATCTTCTGTGTTTAACTAATCATTCTAAATATTCTTTTTATTAGAAGATCTGAAATCGGGTGTGTGGAGTTGTTAAGATGTACATTGATGAACATTGCCTGGAGATTTGAGTTGAGACAGGGAAGGGAGCTTGTCCCTCCCTGTCAGGAAAGGGACATTAAGGCACATGTTGATGCTATGGTTAGCTAAGGAGCACCATTTGCTAAGGGGAACCATTTGCATTATAAACCTGGGCTTAGGGCTTAGCTCTAAAAATTCCTCTGCCTGAACAGACCAGCATGTGCAGATGAAGAGGGAAGCCAGGGCAAATATGCATGGTTGACTCCCCCTCTTCAGGGAATCTTAGACCCTAAGGGGCAGAAGGACCTCAAAGCACAGATTTTTGTGTGCTTGCTCATGCCTGTGCACCTGTGTGTGTGTGTGTGTGTGTGTGTGTGTGTGTATCTGTGCCCCCTCTGTGTGTGTATGTGTGTGTGTGCCCCCTCTCTTTGCATATATATGTGTGTGTGTCTATGTGTGTGTGTATATGTATGTGCGTGTATGTATGTGTGTGTGTATTCGTTTCTGTGTGTGTGTGTGTGTGTGTGTGTGTGAGTGCACATGCTCACTCATTGGTGGGTGGTAGAGGTGAGCAGACAGCCTCAGGTGTTGATCTTCACTTCTGCTTTTCACGTAGTTCTAGACTGTGCTCTTTCGTGTTCACTACTGCATAGTTCAGGGTGGCTGGTCCAGGAAGGCCCTTCACCCACCACCTCCTGTGTGTCTGTCCTGGACTTATGGACACACCTGGCATTTTGTAGGTTCTAAGAATCTGAACTCAGGTCCCCAGGTTTCTACTGCAGTATTTTACCTAGAAAGCCATCATCTACCCAGCCTGGGGGAATGGAGGGGTGCAGATTTCTGCCCATTTTGTCCTCTTCCCCACTGGAAGAACTTGTCTTGCTCTAAAAACTATGGAAATGTGTACCCTTTTCAGTGAGACCCACATCTTAGCAAGCACGTTTTGTGCTAGAGGAATCACAGTGTATTAAATGCTATCTTACAAAAAGTACTGTTATTGAGCCACACCAGGAATGAGGATATAAGCTTTATCATATTAAGCACACTAACATTTGTAAAGCTTCCAGACAACCAGGCTTTGTACCAAGTGAGTCCTGAACCTGTGTAGGACATCGGGTGGCCCTCTGTGTTGAAACATGTTAATGTAATGTTGGGAAACATCGAAGACACAGTTGAAAAGCAAGAGCAAAGAGACTGTGCAGGAAGACGGAGCTAGGTAGGCACATTTTCACCTACTGGTGCCCCGGGATTTGTGAAGTCTAAAAAATGTTTCTTTGGAGAGAGGCATGCCTCTCACACACACTTTGTAATGGGCTCTGTAAAGCACAGTTAGGGTAGGAGGTAGCTCGGCACTTGGAGTGCCCATCTGAGGACCAAAATTCAGGTCCCAGGACCCATTCAAATGCTGGGTAGGCATGGTGGACCACTATTGCTCCCATTGAAGACAGGGTTTCCTAGGAACAAGCTGTCTAGCAGAATACGCTGAATCAGAGGGCCCTCGGTTCAAGTGAAAGGGTCTGTCTCAATAAATGAAGTGAGGAGCAGTTGAAGAAGATACTTGGGGTCAACTTTAAGCTTCTAAACACATTTGCACCTATGTGAACCCTCATACACAAGTGTGCCCCTACATAAGCAAATACCCATGCACACTACATATACACTGCTCCCCAAAAGACAGATTTCTTGCTGTAGTGATAGTCACTGATATAACAATACTTCCACTCTGTCCACCATCATTTTCTAAGAAAGTAAGACTTCATAGCAAATTATGCTGGCCAATAGTTAAAAAAATTTAGGGATTTAATAAGTTTGATGAAGTATGTGTTTATTTTCTTTTTTCTTTTTCTTTTTTTTTTTTTTTTGCTCTGGGACTTGAACATATAACCTCATGCTTATTAGGGACAAACACCTTACTAAGGAGCTACATTCTGAATCCTTTTAAAATATACTTTTCTTTTGTGACAAGTTCTCAGTAATTTGTTAGATGGAACTTGAACTCATGCTGTAGTGCCTTAACTTCCCCTCTGCCATAAGGATTTATACCTCTTTCATTGTAAACACAAATCATATAAAATCAACTTTTAAGTGGAAATGAATGTTACTCTTTAAAATGTAAACGTGGCTGCTTGGATAGACAAACTACCTGAAATAGAGATACATTATAACTCAATTCAATTCTGTTAATAAAATATTGTTAGTTCCAGACTCAGGGAAGAATGGCAGTCCCTAGTAGTGGTTACAGGCCAGCGGAAGTCACTCAGCAATATTTACAAATGCAGGCCGAGTGGGATGAATGCTCATGTCTCACTTTCATTTGTTAGATGGAAAAGTTGAGTATTCTCTACTTCCAAATATTAATTTTGTGTTCCTGTGGGTGTGAGGGTACATCCGTGCCACCACCATGTGTCAATGAACATCTTGCAGGCGCTAGCTTATTCTTTCCTTCTACTATGGTGTTCCCAGGGATAGAACTGAGATCATTAGCGCTTGATGGCAAGCACCTTTACTCACCAAGCCATCTCTGCAGACTGACTGTTGTTTATTGAGTAGTTGTTGCTCAAATTCTATAGCCATTTGAATTTACTAAACTCTTAAGTTGTATTTAGTAGGTATTTTCTAGAAGACATGAATAAATGGAAGATAAATGAAATGAATACAAGTCCTACCTTATTTTTAAGTAATCGATGATGGCATTGGCATCTTTGACATCAAAGATGTGCAACTGCTCATTCTTCTGTGAATGGTTAGGTCCAATTTCTGCCATCACTTCCCCGAGCCACTTGATGCTGTCCTCTAAGGACATGTGCAGTGCTGAAAACAAAGCCAGAAAGCCCTTCCATTAACTCGATAGCTGTTGTGAGGGTACAGTAGTTCAAGATGTCCTAAATGTGCCAAAAATTTTCCTTCTCCATCATTTGTGGAGAGAAAATGTGAAGCTCATGTTTTTTGTTTGTTTGTTTGTTTTTACAACAAATTAATAATTAGATTTTGGATGAATTACTAGTGATTGGTCTACCATCATTACGACAATATATGTACATGGTTGGCTGGACAGACAGTTTGTTTCCAGTTTAGAAAGCAAAATCACCAATGTCTATTTAAATACCACTTTTAAATGGAAAGGAAAAATTTAAAGCAGATTTTAAGGAACAAAAGAAGGATAAATAAAAATCACAGAAAAGCTGGCCACCAGAGGTGGTAAAGAGACACAGATCAAAGGTTCAGCCACTGTGGACACCAGTGCTGAACTTGGATGGGGAAGGTCAATGAGTGGAGTCCCCAGTTTCTTGGCTATAATTGGGTGTTACCATTTGATAACTCAGCCAGAAGGTTTTTTGAGAGGAGCCAAATATATGGATATTTTCAGAGTTTCCATATTTATCTTTACATTTTATTTATTTTATGCCTCTCTCTGTATCACATGGTTTGTGTGTAGGGAAGATTAAAATTTCAGGAAGTGGGCTCTCTTCCCCTACCTGTGAGTGCCAAGGACTGAACTGGGGTCATCAGGCAACCCTTACCTGCTGGCCATCTTGCCAGCCCTTTAAATATCTATATTGGAAATAGGAGTTTGTGTATAAAATATCACCACCATTAAAGATTTCAAAGCTATATAACCTGTTTGTCAAACATTTGCCTTTGAGAGATTGTCAAACCTGCATGGAAATGACACAACTTCCTCACTGTTGACCAACAATGACCAGCTTGGTGGTTCTAGAAGATTCTCAGATAACTACATATAAACAACAACAAAACACACATGCATACAACAAAGCAACAACATTTCTCCACCACCAACTATTTCCTATGACTATTTCCTTGTCCAGCTGAAAATGAAACTTAAATATTAATAATCTCAGACTTAATTCTATGGTGTTTTTGGTAAAAAAATATAAACATCTATTGTCCTTTTTGATTGACTGATTGTGTTTGGCTTTTCTTGTGGCAGGAACAATATCATCTACAATCTCTATGCCCTCTCCCCTCCTGCTTTGAAGATTGGATGCAGACAACTGGAGTATCCAGAAAGTCTTTCCTGACACTAGTGAGTAGGCATGAACAGGGGTGGCACCAGTGGGTAGGGCAGGCACACAGAACAGAGGTGGCTGGAAGCAGAGAGTTGAATGGTCTTGGAAAAATGTATCTGGGCCAGTGTCATAGCCAGTGCCTGGCTGACGGCTTGCAGGGCAAAGCTGAAGATCTCTTAGGAAGCCATCAATAAACATCCTACTTCATGTACTAGAATGGAATGCTGTGGGATGGAGATGGAGACAAAGATGAATTATGAGACTATAGACTGATAGTTGGTTCAGCCACATCCAGAGAAGCTGAGTTAAGCACCCACCCCCTTTCTCTGGAATGCACATTTGACATGCACCCCATGTCAGAATCCCTAATATAATTTTTAGAAAGACATTACAGACAAATCCTAGCTTAAGATTTATTTTGTTCAAATTTTCTTCTATCTGTAGCAATTAGACAGAAACGGAAAGTAATTGAACCCCACTGAGTACTGCAGTGAATGTGCCTGGTGCCAGATGGAACCCTTTAAAGGGCAGTGCCCAGAAATTACCAGGGGTAATTCTTAAACAATCACACTCTCCTACAGGTCATGATTATCACATGGGTCACACAGAACTACAGGATGAGGGCCTTTTGTTTGTTGTCTCAGGTAAAACACACTCCCACTGTACATTTCTCTTTTCACAATAAACCTTAAAAGTAACCTCCACAGTGCAAGGGAATTTGGGAAGGAAAGATGAGTATGGTAAGAGCAACTCATAATAAACAGAAAAAGCAAACTCACTAATTGGAGATGCTGAGAAAAAAAGGTTATTTAGATTACTGATTTGAATTCTGGATGGAACTATGGTTCTCAAACACAGACTGCATCTGTTTATGAGACTTGCTTCTGTTGACCAATGGTTGACACTTTAGAACTGTTTTTGCAGACCTCCTTCCTTACTGGAGATAATTGCGTTGAAAATGACAGATGTTAGCCTTTCTCTTAGCTAACTGAAGTCCCAAAAGTGGAGTGACCAGACTGAGAGGTACTAAACCAAATGCAATCTGGGAAACTCAAGTGAGGAAGGGCACTCTAGATTTATAACTAGTTAGAAAACTTGGGGTGGGATCAGGTAAAGGTACTTGCTAGTTAGGTCACCAGTCTCATCCTTTTGTCTTTAAAAGAAAACTCCCGCATCCAAGATGCTGCTGCTGCTATGGCAGGCAAATAGGAAATGTACAGAAACCCCTGGACAGCTAGTCTCTGTGTGTGGTCTTTCTAGGTGATGATTCCTACACCACCTCAGTGTGTACCAGATTGTATTCCACTGTGAATGTAGTGCTTGCAAGGTGTAGCATATTTTCCATCTAGTATGCATGTATTATTTCTATTGAGAATCTGCTTCAAGCATATTCTACATGTGTTCACAGTGTGTGAAGAGTATTACACATGTTCTGTTCATAGTGTGTGGTGCTTTCTGTCTCTTTACATATGTCCCTTTACTAGTATGTACCCATTTCTGATCCTTTACATTGTGTCTTCCTAGTGTGTACCCATATCCTTTTACATATGTGTGTTTCCTTTCATGTATCCATTTCTGGCTCACTATATATGAATGGTTCTATACATGTGCTTTTCTTAGCATGCATCATTTCTCATTTGTCACATGTGCACTGATTTCTAGTGCATTATCTTTGTTGTTTGCTCTAGGTTCTGCCCCATGCCAGCTATGTCTGATGTGGCATCATCAGGATAGACCCTTGTTTGTTGATGTAGATCTCATGTCAACTTAAAGAATAAACTAAATCCCTCTGAATCCCCCCCTCTGAATAACAGCACATAAATTATTTGTTGTGGCCTATTGTTCAGGGAATGCTGACAAGAATAAAAAGTCTGAACTTGTAAAATAGACTTGATTTCTTTTTTTGAGCAATATTTTCTGCCTTCAGTGGGTACAAACCACAAAAACAAAAGCATACTCTTAAGATAAGTCTCTGAACTGTACTTTATATCTTTGAGATGATCTGGTTTGATTTGAGGTGGGCTCCCTGCAGAATGTCTTGTAGACATGCAATACAGATTTGGGGCAAGGACCAAGTCCAACACCTAGCTGTCCAAAAATGGGTGTTCTGTGGACTAGGCCACTTGATAACCATGAACCTGAGATGTGCTCTGTGGCCGGAGCTGTGGTGGAGTACAGTGTGACAACTTCATCCTTCATCTTCAGAATGCCACAGTCTCTTGGTTTAATTGCAAACAATTTAGCTCCTTGCTGTGTCAACCAGCCAAAGCTGTGCTTTTCATTCACAATCTAATTCCATGGAACGGCTGAGAGTTTTTTCGTTTGTTTGTTTGTTTTGTTTTGTTTTTCTGACCCGAGGTATACATGAGCTTGTTTGCTTTCCCCTCATTTTGCACACACACTTTCACTGTCTCTTGACTTAGCTGCTTGAAGCCTGTTAGAGGGTCAGAAGTGCAGGTATGAACTGATACTGACCATACAAAGCTCAGCTGAAGGCCACTCCGGGGGCTGGGAGGTGTGGGAAAGGTGTAAGCCGGAAATATTCGCTCATATTCGGACTGTGAAGCTCTTGTAAATGTTTACCTCCAGCTGAGAAGTTGCACAGCTTAGGATAGCCACATCAAACATCCTTTGAAACTTTAATTTTCCTATGACTGATGTATTCAAGTTTTGCTTGATATGTAGATTTTGCCTGAAAAGGCATTCTCTAGCCCCTACTGCTCACATCTAGCTTTCCACATCCCCCCCGGAAGGATTGTTTTCTTTTTATTTTATTTTTTAAATTAAGACCCATTCTTGCTGTGTGTTAGGTTCATCTTAGATTTTCAATCCCACTTCCTTCCTCAACCTTCCAGATCCCAAGTACTAGTGTTCTAATGTGTTCCTCCCTCCATGCCTGGCTTCACAGACTGTTCATCTTCCCCCACTCTGCGTTCTTCTGCTCTCTGGTATTCATACATGTGCAAGCACACCTTCCTATATCTTCCATAAACAAAAGCACACAGTTCTTCACGTTCTTTTCTTCTGCTGCTATGGAGTCTTGTCACAATATGCAGAAAGCTTTCCCATTCTCCCCTTTGCTATGTATTCTGCTTTCAAGATAAGTTAAATCATGTTTAGGTTTTACCATAGTTTCCGATATGTAGAAAATCACAAAGATGACAGCATATCCTATGGTATTTGGAGTGTGATTGGTACGGGGAATACTAATTGGAATAACTTTGGCTAATCAACAAAGACAACCTTAGTCTTATTAAGGATCTTTGAGGATTTACCATTCAGTGAGAAATGAGCTGTCCCTGTTGTATCCAGGAAACAAACCCACAGTTTTCATAAATGAAACATGATGAAGCAAGTATCTTGGCTTTCAAATATTAATTTACATGGACTACACCTTTTCCCCCACCCCTTAAAAGAACAGAGAGGGACTAGACTTACTTTGAAGATTATGCAGTAACATGTCCAGCAAAGTCATGAATTTTGAATGCTGGTAGACGGAAAAGTTCATGTCTTTGGCCCAAAAGAACCCAGACACATAGTAGTCTAACAGAATGGCATCTCTTAAGCAAGTCTGGAGATTCTTGAAATTCAGAATCACTCTCATTTTTCTGTGACAGAAAGAAAAATGTGGGCATTAAATGGGATTAAGTAGCAAACAGTTCTGAGAAGTTGTGGAAGCAACTAGTTTATTGAAAATTCTAGGATGCTTCTCACCTTATTCAATCATCTCAGTGTCCACAAGATGAAAGGGAAAGGGGGAAAGGGAGGAAGGAGAAGAATGGCAGGAGATGGATGGGAGGGTGCTCTCCTTGGCCATCTCAATTATTTTTTCTTTGTCTCCACTTCTTATACTTTCAATACCTGGTATTTTTACCTCCTAAAATTCAAAATTCAATACTCTTTTTTTTTTTTTTTTTGGTAAGAGACAGGCTAGTCATGCAGCTCAGGTGAGTCAGGAATTTGCTATGCAGCCAAAAATGACCTTGAGCTCCTGATGCCCCTGCCCCTGCCTCAGTCCCATTGCTGTCTCTGGGATTAGACACAGGCAGGCCAAGTGAGTGCTCTTCCTACCAATTCAGCCACATCTCCGGCCAAGACCTCTCTACAAATCAATCTACGGATTAAGTCTGATCCATTTCTGAGAACAGATTGTTAACATTCTGTCCTCTTTTTCTCTGCAAAGAAAACAACCTGTGCATCCTTCATTGGCTTTCTGTCCGGTGGATTTAAGTTTTTTTTCCCAACCATTTCTCCTTCCCCTGCGTATTTCTTATTACTTCTCTCCCAGAATGGGTTAAGCAGCTATTCCTTCTTGGAGCTGCTCTTAGATCTTTCTTTCTCTACATTTTCTTCTGATGTTTCTAACCTTTTTTACCCCCATCATCTCCTCCAGCTGTTATAAGTCTGTTTTGTGCTCTTCTTGCTATTGCTCCACAAGTTTAAAAAAATCTGTGGCATGACTGTATTTTCTGTATGTCCCTGTTCACATCTTTCTGACTGTGGCTTTGTTCTGTTCTATGTCCTGTCACTGTATCTTCGGGCACAGTACTCATGTGATAGTTATTTTTAAACAATGGCAGCTGCTTGCAGGAAATGAACTGGGTGTGGAGACTGCCTATGACACAAACTATTAGATGCTCTCTGGTTCATTATATCAACACTGCTAGTCACTTCCTGTGCCATGATACAAACTGGTTGGTACTTCCTGTGTCCCGATATCCAACTCATAGGCATTTCCTGTGTGGAGTTACTTTCTTCTAACATTTATTTCTGTTTTGATTAGTGAGATAAAAAAAAGTAGACTCATTTTACTGCAACATAAACAATCTATAATATAGGTATGTGTACCCCATTCCTGCATGCCCAGGTCCTATACTGCAAATGGGGGACTCATAGCACAGCATCTAGGTTTTTCTCCTCCAGGAGATGTTCAGTACCTTTCCTTTGTCCTAAACCCTGTAGCTGTGTATATAGCTCAAACTGTCTCTTGCACATCCAGATGATCTGTGATCATCGCGAGGGTCACCTTCAAAGCTCATGGTTTGGCCTTCAGCATTCTTCGGTCTTGACAATGACTGATTTGGTTTTCCTTGTTGCTTGTATGTGATTTCGTGGGATGAGTTCGAAGATGGTATGTGTGTGGTATCAAATGAGTGACAATTAATACAAGTTTAGAAGTTAAAATGTCTTTTGACATGTGTGTAACATAAGCATCTGTCTCAAATGTAGCCTTATCAGGAGAAACCACAGACTCTACATGAGGTCTGATAATTTTTAAGGAAACATTTCATCTTCCCTCCCCTTCCCACCATGGCAGACAATGCTGTCTGCCTCCAGGTATTGGCATTATAGGTAGCCGCCATGACTGCCTAGTTTTAATATGGTTGCTAGGGCTCCTATTCCAGTTAACGTGACCGCAGGGTAAGAACTTGGTCCACTGAGCCATCTCTGCAATCACCATTGTTTGCTTTTACAAAAGATTTTCTAAGAACTTTTTGTGTGATGAGAACTATTGACCCTTTATATTTGGGATGCAGTTTTACAAGCGTTCTGAAATTGTTTTATTTTTATGAGAGGGAGAAATTGGGTTATTTCCCCCTCATGCACATACTTATTTTTACCAGACTGTTCTAGAATAGTTGTTCTAGTTTATAATTATCCTGTTTGCCTTTATTTTAATTTCAAATGAATCTTGTGCTTACAGCCAGGGAGTTTTTATTTCTAATTTTTTTAGATCACAATTATTGTTGGCAGTTTTCTTGTATTGTTATGTTAGATGCATCAATGACTTCATTAATCTTTCCTGAGGTAATAGGTCAATTTTTCAATGAAATTACAGGACACCAAGTTTGTTTGTTTGTTTGAGTTCTTTATATAATCATATTCTGAACAATCCCTGCTTGAGTTTGATCCTGAAATCACACTCTTTCCATGAACCAGATTTTGATGACTGTTCCTCAGAGAGCTGCTCTCCATTTCTGACAGGGAACTGTGAGAGGCCTGCCTGCTCATTGTCCCTGGGTCATTTTATGCTGGACACAATGAAATGCTTCAGTTTCATTCCACTGAAACAGAAAAACCAAGCATGCATTACATTCATCTTTTCTGGTTCATTATGTTAGATGTGTAATCTAATGCCCTCCCATCGAGTTGCTATACTCATGCCCTGCTATGAGTTCCCTCATGTTTATCTTCTATTGTCACTGACTTTGTTTTCAGCAAAGCAGATTCCACATTAATTTCGTTCTTTATGCATAGTATCTTCTTTTAGCTCCAAGAGTTCCTTGATGTATAGATCTTATCAGCTCTGTAATCTCTTGGTTTGCAGAATTGATCCAGCCTTTAATCATGAGCTTTTGGTTAACGTTTCTGTCACTTCTGTTGACTTTTCTTTAAACTTTTTCTTCATCTGCCATCTGCATTCGGTGTATTCTTAAGTAAATATTTGACTTCAGTACCGGTACATGTTCTTTTGTTTTGTTTTGTTTTGTGTTTTTTTAAGTGCTTGTATTTGAATGAATTCAACAACGTTTTCAAGCATATTTTGGTGATCACTCCCTGACCTCCCTCCACCTCAGCTTTGACTCCCTCCCTCCCTCCCTCCTTCCCTCCCTCCCTCCCTTTTTCCCTCCCTCCCCCTAGTGCCAGTGGACTCTCTCCTGTGACTTGACTCTCAGGGTTTGGTATCCACAGATTCTGTTCTTCCTCCAGTCATTTCACTCCAAAGGAAGTGATACAGAAATCATTTAGAGCACTGTCCTAGTTGGAACACAGTTTCTGTGTCTTCTACTGGCTGGTTTGGTCATAGAGGAGGATGGAATAAAACAGAGAAGGTGGGGGGAGAGCCACAGCTGTAGTGTGGGCTGATGCACACAAGGGAAAGGAACTCAGTGACCTCTCAGGACATTGTGACATGGCAAGAGATAATGGGACCTGTGCAGACCAGTTAAGCAGCTCAGAGAGTTCTGGCTGCGGAAAGTTACTAGAAGGTATTGATGGACCTGTTTTGGTGATACACAACTCAGAGCCCAGCACTTGAGAAGCTGAAGCACAGGTGTTGTTTTGAGCTTGGAGCCAGCCTGGATGACTAGAGTCAGCCTCAGCTTCCAAAGATGCAATCAAACAAAACTAAGGCTCCATGTGACTTCTGCGTTTATAAAGTTATTTTTAACTAGCCCCTGCCATTTTTAAAGATTTTAAAAAATTCTCTTTGATTTTTTTGTATGGGTGTTTTGCTCACATGTGTATCTGAGCACTATTTGTATGTCTGGTACCTGAGGGAGGCTGCAAGATGGCATCAGATCTCCTGGAACTAAAATTACAGAGGGTTGTTATCTGCCATGTGGGGGATGGAAATCCAACCCAGGTCCTCTGTGCAAACAGACCCCATGTTCTTTACTACTGAGCCATTTCTGCAGACCTGTTTTTTTGTTTGTTTGTTTTTTAAATGTAACATTAGGTAGATTTGTAAGTACTTTTGAGTTGCACATGAATAAAATATTATTGATAGCATACATTAGAAAGTCATGAAAAGAACACCAGGCATGTGAAGTCTATTTCAGAATGTATTTTGAATAATCTCTCATGTTTCTTGGGTTTGTCTGTTGGCATAGAGAAAAAAATTCATAATTGTGAAATGTAGGGAAATATGATGATTTGTTGTAATTTATTTAAGCAAGTTTATAGCTTTTCTAACTGCATGATCTGGGACTATTTTGGTCACTTTGGAGAGGATAATTAAATTATACTGTTGTCTTTTTGAACAATATATAACCATCCCTTACAATAATGCTGTTTTAAATTGAAAATGATTGCAAATACATGTAGATCATTGTTACAGAGATTATATTTAAAGACACAAGGAAATGGCTCCTAAGATAATGCTGTCCCAAAATTCGACATGCAATTCCTTGATGTGATTCTTTGACTCACTGCAGATGTCAACCTGCTTTTTTGATACAGCTGTTTTACAATCTCCTATGTTGCTAGGTTTTGTGTTGTGTTCGGTTGGGTTTCTTTGTGTCTTTATATCTGGCCAGGTAGCCATGGCTCTTCTGGATGTGCTTTGAAAGCCAGGCTGGCTGTAAACTTGGTGGCCAGCCTATGCTTCTGTCCCTGACTGTGTTGTGTGATTTTGTTCAGTCCTTCGCTGACTGCTGCAAAACTGGCTGTGATTTGTGTTTTGTTTCACAGATGCTCTTCTGATGCTTGAAAGTATTTTTTGAATTTGGATATTTAACAAGGAAGAACAGTCAACAATTGAAAAAAAATTGTGTTCTATAAAGTAGGTACATAACCATAGCATAACTTATAATGTAGTAAAAAATTCACAGTTCTAAAAACTAACATATTATTTAATATTAATTACCATTAAATACTAAATATTTGGTATTTTTAATGTTGACATTTTATGTAGTAGTCATTACAAGTAAGTCAGAAGCTGGATTAAATGTCTGTCACTTGCTTTGTATTACTGTCACTTAGTACTGACTGCTGCTTTGTATGACAAAGATCATGTTCATATAGTGACCTCCAAGTGGGAAATCCATTTTACAGAAAATCACTATGCATATTATTAACACCATGAGTGGTTTTAAATGAAGTATTAAAACTGTTTGGATTTGTTTGCTTACCCTTTGTGTATATGGTTTTGTGTGTGTGTGTGTGTGTGTGTGTGTGTGTGTGTGTGTGTGTGTGTGTGCCCACACACCGCAGCACATGTACAGAAGACAGAGAACAACTTAATGGAGTTCATTCTACTATGTAGGTCAGGGCTCAAACTCGGGTACTGGAATCCATCTGTGACAATTTAATTTTTTAATCAATCCCTACACTAAGAATCAGAGTTCCCAATAAATATTTATTTCTGTAGAAATGGTAAAGTGTGCTATGAGAAATCATTGAGAATGGGTGGGAATGTTTAATCCTCTGATGGATTATTTGCCAGCTCCTGATGAGCCTTCTCAGAGTCCTCTCCTGTCCATCCGGGTTATTTGTCACAGCTCCTTCTCAGGAGTAAATCACTTCAAAGCCATAGAGCTTGTAAGATCTGTCTGTGGTCACTACTGACGGAGTCATTGTCTGTGTGTTCATTATGGTCTGTGACACCTTGCTTGTGTCCTGAGTACTGGCTTGCAAAGAGCAGATTTCAGGGCACAGACAGCCCAATACGACTGTCTATAGTCAAACAGGTTTCTATTTCAAGGTGAGATAACTTATTTTAAATTGTGGGTGATGGCTTAGCCACGAGCCACATTTCTAGCCACTAATAGACATCTTTAAGGAAACCATGTTGACGGACCTAGCAGGCTAATATTCTAAATAAATGACGTGCCCTAGTACTATATACCCCAGACAACATGATGTTAGAATTATTTTGACAAATTCAGTCCTATCTACATTTTAAAACACATGTCCTAAGAGTCTAGAATTTAGCATCATTGTTTCTTATAAAGGTCACCGGTAAATGGCTAACATGCAGAATTTTCAAAAGCATAACTGTGCTGAGTAGTTTTGTGTCAACTTGACACAAATTAAAGTCATATGAGAGGAGGGAACCTCAACTAAGAAACCACCTCCATAAGATTGGACTTCAGACACGTCCTGAGGGAATATTCTTAATTAATTATTGATGGATAGGGCTCAGCCATTGTGTGTGGGACCACTTCTAGGTTGGTGGTTTTGGGTTCTATACGAAAGCAAACTGAGCAAGCCATGGAGAACAAGCAGTAAGCAGCATCCCTCCATAGCCTCTGCATGAGCTCCTGCTCTGTGTGAGTTCAAGTCCTGACTTCCTTCAGTGATGAACAGTGATGTGGAAGTGTGAGCTATATAAACAATTTCCTCCCCAATTTGCTTTTGTAATGGTGTTTGATCATGATGTCCTCAAATCAAGACAAGGACCTAATTGACTGTTAATATTATTAATGGGATTTGCTATATTGTATTAATATAATTAGTGTTACAGGAGGATGTCCTTTGGATTATGGAAACATATTGACAGCTTCATGAATAGAAGGGAAAAAACACAGAAGAGGGTACAGGTAGATACAGGCGACTCTTGATCAACATGAACATGTTTCCAATGCATGTCACTCATCAGGAAACGCTGCCGGGCTGTGCAAATAGTCAATTCTCTCTCTCTCTCTCTCTCTCTCTCTCTCTCTCTCTCTCTCTCTCTCTCTCTGTGTGTGTGTGTGTGTGTGTGTTCTCAAGGCTTGACATATTTTAGTGAAAACTATAATAGCACATAGTTTGAAATAAAAGGTTAAATAAAATGTGTAAACAGTGCACCATGGTCATTTAGCAATGAAGGCCCAGAACTGATCTCTAGTTGGCTGAGATTCTGGTGTCCTTACTCTTGAACTTCATCCATGTCCATTTCTTCCAGCAGATCGGCGATCTGGTCAGTTGAGAGAAAATCTGGGGACAGGATCTTTTCATTCTCCTGAAATTCAATATTTTTCTATTAAGAACAAAACAAAACAGAACAACTTATCTGAATAATATATTTTGCATACTAGCCCTGATGATATAAAAAAAGTAGTCACTTTTCTTTTCTGTTGTTACTTGGTGGTGGCTCTCCACTGAGAAGTCACACAATAGAATGTCTATCCTTGGGCATGTGCAGAACCGAGGGCTGACTTACAATTCAGCAAACACTGACTGCTTACATATTTGTCCTTGAATTGCAGGTTCAAGAGAGGGTAAAGGCAAGGAGAGACTTGCTTGTCCCAAGGAGATCAATATTGGGTCCTTAATTTACTCATCCTAGATTAATAGTGCATCGTGATAACAATCTAATATTAAGTTATAAACACCAAACCAACAGTGATTGTATTTGCTTTGAAATTTTCCATTAGAAAGCAGCAGGGCTTGTACTGTATAGCTCAGGGGGTGAGGTGCTTGTGTAGTCAAGATAAGCAAAACTTGAGACAACCATGCCGGGGACAGGGGTGAAGGTAGAGTTGATCAGAGAACATTGTGTGTGTTATGAAATTCTCAAAATCAGAAAGAAATATTTCAAACATAAAGCATGACAAATGAGCTGTGGTAAGCAGGGCATTCCGTCGCTAAGCAAAGACAAGGACAGGGATGTGACTGGACTTTACAATGACGGGGACCGTGAGTGGCCTTTCAGAGCTGGCATAACCAGAGCAAGCCCTGGACGAACAGTTCCCAGAGGCGCCCAGGACTTCTGCCAAGAATGAGATGGAGACCAGCGGGCTGTTTGTACCGCAGTGTGTTGTGGGAGGTCCTGAATTTAAGACGACAAACGACCTCCGAAAGCTTACAAAGTAGAACAACTGTGTGTAGAATCACACCTTCATCTTCGTCTCTCCTCGTGGTTACTCGGAGAGTGTGGAAGAAGTGGGGATTTAGAGGGACTACAGAGAAGGTCACGGCCAGGCTGCTGATTAGTTTTCCGATTTCAGCCAGCTCGTTTGATATTATTAAGTTTGGATTCACCTTTTCTTTTCAAAGATCAAACCCCCCCCCCCCCCCCCATGTTTGGATACTCAGAGAACTGCCACAATGAGTCAGAGCGAGAGAGAAGTACTTGGAAAAGTGAGTGATACTGACATACGGATCAATTTACTTGATGAGAAAAATTCTGGATAGAAAAAGATTAGGGCAGACAGAACTATATGAAAGAGAATCCAATAATATCAATGCTTTGACAGTCAGAGCTCTAGCAATGATGCCCGATGTCAGGGCTCATGTTTTTACTAAAATTCAGGGGTTTAAGATAATGATCTTTTTGGCAGAGCTTGTCTCTTTTATTAGTATTAGTGCTACTAGCGGCAACATTGTAAAAAATATGTATCTCTGCACCTATTTTAAATGAAGCTTCCTTCACCTCCTCCTTTCTTTCTTCTTTTTTTATTTCTCTGCTGCCTTGCACTAAAAAGAGTATTAATTAGGCGAGTTAAAGCCTTTGATCTTTCAATGAGTATATTCTGGTATCTATAACCTTCAGATACAACAGTGATTCATAAACAGGCTAAAATTGCCCACTTGTCTCTGTGGCTTTCTTGGCAGCACTGGGGCCACACTGCTCTGTTAGCTCACTTTCCCCCATCTCCTACTGGATTTTAGCATCCATTCCAAGAGCAACATTTGAAGCCTCCTATTATTTACCAGATAATCTTTTGTTTGACTTCTTGTCCTCCAGTGTCATCTGAACACTTCACATCTGTAAACATGTTTTCTTCCTAGAACACAGGCTTTTAGGAACATGTCTGCACCCATTGCTGATAAAGCTTTACGTAGGAGAACCTCTAAAAAGCTTCATTAAAGAAAAAGTTGACAGATTATCTAATTAGGAAAGAGGGCTTTCCCAGTCAGAAGAAACATGGACTTGCCAGATATTTGAAAATTTTTTCCTTCAAGTCTAAAAATAAATGAACTAAGGAGCAGTGTTGGAGTTAAACCCCGCCGGAGTTGGAGGTGAGAGAAAAATTAGGGATATTGATGCTGTCTTATTTTAAAACTTGATCCATTCCAGCATTTCTTGCACCCACTTTGATTCTATTAGCATGGTCCATTGAAGTATCCACCTGTCTGGGTACTGGCACATCTTAGATGCTGAGCTGGACAGGACCTCAACCCCCCCCCCCCACTGTAATCTTCCTACAGGGCTCAGAAACCAATTATTTTTTTTAAAAGAAAAATAAGTAATTAAAGGAATGAAAAACAAGTAAAGTAGTTAGCTATTTAAAGATATGACTAAAAAGGCAACTCTCTGGCAAGTATGATTAAAGAATAAAGCAAGTGAATGTCTGCCACAGCAGGTGGAAAAACATTAGAATATACAAGGGAATGGATGACCTCCTAGGAAAATATAAGTTATTAAAACTTAGCGGGGATAAGGAGAGAATCAATCTGACCAAACAGGATCCAAACTGGAGTCTACCTTTTGTAAAGTCTACTGGCCCTGAAATTCTACATTTAATCAAAATCTAGTTAAATAATTTTAGGCTATTAAGAGTTCAGGGTTTGTTTGTTTTTCTGGCCAGTGGTGATGCACACTTTTAATTTAAGGAGCACTTGGGAGGCAGAGGCAAGCAGATTTCTGTGAGTTTGAGGCCAGATTGGACTACAGAGTGAGTTCCAGGACATCAGGGCTACACAGAGAAACCCTGTCTTAAAAAAAAATCACCACCCTCCAAAAAAGAAAGAAAGGAAAAAAGGGTTCATTTTAAAAAATAAAAACAAGCTGTACATCTAGAATGTACATAGAAGAACCCAAAGAAGCACAAAATGTTAGAGAATATAGAAACCCAAAGCACTAATGAGTTTAGAGTGTGGTCAGAATTAAAAATAGGTGAATCCCACTTTGATTAAAGGATAATGGCCCATCACCCAGCAGAACCATCACTACAAGAAAACACCAAGTTTATGTCAAATTCATCAAGCATTCTTTGACTGTTATGAAAATGCCCAGCAGGTACTTTCTAAACTCAGCAACAAAACACTTGGTAAATATAAATGGAAAAAGGAAACTGAGATAGACAGAGTATCTCTGAAACTGCAGCCACCATATTACCAAACAGTGGGATAATAGTCAATGCTGTAGAACCAATAGCTGGAGATGGGATCCTACTAGCAACTTCACCATAATTCAATATGAGAGCCATTCTCCTCCATTACAGTTAGAAGATAAGAAAGTGAAATATGAGCCTTGAGCAGCAGACACAGAGGAACAAAAGGGCCTTTGTTTGAAGATTCCATCATAGTGTCCTTAAGAAGGCTGACATTATATTAACATTCATCTGAGAAACCTGGTAAAATGGTTATCCATAACATAAATATACAAAGCCAGTTTTTCTTTTCTCTATTTGAGAAACTAATCTGAAATGGAAAGGCCCCAAAACTTGATTAAATTATACTTTGTTCTGAGTATAACAAAGCCATAAGAATTATGACAAAGTTTCTCAAACTTTGTCAGAACCTGAAGGATAAGAACTGATAAAAGAAATTTATTAGAAACTCCTTCAAATTCAAAAACTGGAATTCTTCTCGCATAATAAATGTGATGCAAAGACAATTCTGAATCCCAGTGGGGTTTTTCCAGAACTTTACAAGATAACTTTTCAATTCTTATAGGAAGATACAGACATTTGGGAGAGGTTAAGATGGTGAAGGGGACCTTCCCAAACTACACGTGAAAGCAGAATATAAAAATGGTATAACATTGATAAAAATCGAACAGACTAAGGGCTGGGGAGATGGTTCAGTGGGTAAAGTGCCTGCCAGTCACAACGACCTGAGTTTAGATCCCCAAACTCACATGAGAAGCTGGGTCAGAGTGTGAGTTAATATATCCTAGTGGTTGAGAAAAACAGATCCTTGGAGCTCCACAGACAATCAAGAGCAGCAGTTCTCAGCCTGGGGGTCTCCACCCCTTTGAGAAACCTCTGTCTCCAAAAGCATTTACATCATGATTCTTAACAGTAGCAAAATTAGTTATGAAGTAGCACTGAAGATAGTTTTATGGCTGGGGTCAGGACAACATGAGGAACTGTATTAAAGGGCCACAGCATTAGGGAGGTTGAGAACAATAGGTCTTGAGGAATTTAACTTCTGGAATGGTATTGAAAATGCAGAAACTTGAAAGTTTGCTATTTAAGTTGAGCCCGAGTGTTCTCGTTACCAAAAGGTTTTGCTTTCTAACATTTTAGAGGACCACCTAGTACAGATGAAATCTGTCTACAGATTCCTACTGGACATGTTGATAGTCTCTACGATGAGCACCAGCATCTTTTTTTTATTTTTTTTTCTTTTATAAGATAGTGACTGCATTCTAGTGAGTTCCCAGAGGCAATGGGTTCACAGTCTGTTTGGGACACATTAAAAATCATATTCAGAGCAGGGCTTGGTGGCACACGCCTTTAATTCCAGCACTAGGGAGACAGGGGCAGATGGATCTCTGTGAGTTCAAGGCCAGCCTGTTTACAGAGAGAGTTCCAGGACAGCCAGATTATTACACAGAGAAAACCTGCCTTGAAAAGTAAATACACAAAGAATTGAGACAGTAGCATTTTCATTCCCTAAATTTAGCTCTCTACTGTGAGCTAATCCATATTATTTTTAAGAATAATAATTAATTAACCTTTTTGAAGGTACCATGAAAGTCAATTTATGAGCTAGCTGGTCAAGAGACTGCAGAATTTAAACTGTTTTCACATAGGTCTAGACATAGCAAACCTTTATTTTCAATTTTTGTTATTCTTTTTCCTTTGTCCTTGCATATTCATATAGATAAAGGCTGAAAGTTTAGTCTTGTATTTCAAAAGGAGGTCTTTGGTCCAATGTTACTGAGGAAACTGGAATTTATAGTTCAGATTCTGGCAAGCAGAGCTCATGGGATGCCACACCCAAAATCTGCTATTCTGGTTCTTTACCCCATGCTCTCTGCTCAGAGCATCTGAATGGATTGCAGCCTCTGGGGACCACCTCATGTAGCACCTGGAAGGCTACCATAACTGTTTGAGCACCTACTATATGAATAGGACAACAGTTTCTATTCTAGATGGGGACCACTGTTGATTAAAGCTTGTCCTTTACTTCTGATTGACTTGGCCAAGAAATAAATGTTTCATTCTTGCATGTCTTGGATCACTAGATGGTCTTCTGTCTAATTCAATTTTGATACAGAATTTATGAGGGAAGAAACTCTGAAGTGCATAACTCTAAGGAGGTTAATTTTGTAGGAAATCTGATCCAGGGTTTCTTTCCTCAGCAGCCTTGGAAATGGACTGCAAGGGTATGTTTTGCAATGTTTTCCTTCAAACCTCAAAGTCCCTCCCTAGACAGCCCAGATGGGAGGCTCTGATGGTGGACCATCTTGCTATGGCCTACAAGAACTGAGCTTTACAGGGGTGAAATATGGAGTGTTCACTACTCCGTATGTTAACTGTCATTCTTAGTCAAGGAATACTGCTAAGCGAACCCATGTTACAAGTGGATTTCTTCAGGTACTTAATAATAAAAAGATTGAGCTAATAAAATTGAAACACACACACACTCGTAAATACCAACTCATTAAACTTCAAAACACTAAATATTCTTAGAGAGGGCATTTCATCCACTGGTAAGTTCGTGTGTGTGTGTGTGTGTGTGTGTGTGTGTGTGTGTGTGTATGTGTGTGCGTACATGGAGACTATAGTCTTAGAAGTTCTTGTATATTTTTAAATGACACAACATTTAATAGGAAAATTTCCTGTGCTGGTTTAAAAATTACATTAACTTTTTGATCACAAGGGAGGAATGTGCTTGGAATCCAGTTTATCATGTTAAAAAATGCATTTAATGTATGCTAATTTTATTTAGAAAGGCTCATAGCAGGGCCTGAAGGCTTAGCAATCTGCCTTTGGTATTGAGAGACATGGAAGAGAGGCTGGCTTGCTTGTCAGGCAAGAAGGCATGGGATCATTGGCTTTTTATGCTTCCTAACTGTCCAGACCACAATGAGTACTTATCTTCCTCATGAAGATGGTTGTTTAGACTAATATGGGGGCTAAACAAAACCATGTTAATTAACAAACACTTCATTATTCACTCTTCAGAGCCTTTAAAAAAGGAAGGAAAAATAATATCCTAGAAACAGTATTTGATAGATGCAGCAAGGAGATTTAAACATTAAAAACCAAACAACAAACAAACAAACAAACAAACCACAGATGGTTTAGCAGATACACTCGTGGTTAAAATCTCAGCACAGGATGGTGACACCACCTGCCAAGTATGAACACCTGATGGGACCCACAAGGCACCATCAAGTGGTCCTCAGACCTCCACACTGCACAATGGCACTCAGTCTTTTACCCATCCACCCAGCCAGCTAGTCACAAGTAAAAAATATAGTAAAAGCAGAGCTTCATGACATTAAGCCCATGGGCAAAATGACTTAATGCCTCCCTTACCCCTTAGTGAGACTTGGTACAAGGAAGGGTCTTAACATGACAGAGCTTGTGTTATTCCAGGGGCAGGAAACACACTGTCAGTTCAGGGGCATTGAATCCTGTCTCCTGGCAAAGGCCTGGTGACAACAGAATCTAAAACTGACCCATTCAGATCACAGCAGCCTTTAAACATCGTTTAATCAGTTGTAATTGATCGTCACAGTCAATCAGTGGCACCTACAAAAGGGACTGGTCCCCTTTAAGATCAGAGATGACTGTTTTGTTTGTTTTTCAATTGAATATTTGCTTGATTGTGAGGCTGTGTGAGCATGGAACTTTCCAGAGTAAGTTTATAGGGTTTGTGATGAGCCTCCAGGGTTCTCTGATAGGACAGGGCAGGCAGCTTGCAGGCCCTCCCTCACTAGCTGCCTTCCTGGTGACTCTGGCCTTGACATTGAGTGATCTTGGCATTAGCCGAGGACCTAGTCCCGGGACAGGAAGAGGTTGCATACCTCGGAGTCTGCTGTGCTGCCTGCTGGAGTCACCGCGGGGGTTATCGCCCCTGGGGTCCACAGTCCTGCCATGATATCCCTAGAGAAAGCAGTCCTTGTCGCCTAGGCAACCGGGGTGGGACCCAGTGTCGCTGACGGAACTGAGACGAGGCCCCGCCCATCCATGGGGCAGGATGCGGCCACCTACTGCTCGAATTACAGTGCAAAGTGAGAAATTTACGTAAGAAGTGATCTGTGGTGATGCAGAAGGCTAACTATAAATCAGGAGGTGATAAATGATTGGGGCTTTGGCTACTGATAGTTTGTCTTAATTTTTGAAACATTTAAAAGTCTCACCATGGCATTGTGGTCTTTAAAAGGAAAAACTGACCCAAATTTTACAGAGGCATATTTTAACTAGTGATGGAGATGATAGTTTGCAGCTTACTCCAAGATACCGAGGGAAGCAACAGAATTGGGATTGCTGTAGAGATGGAGTTAATACACTGTCTTCTCTTGCACATGTTTGAAATTTGCATAACAAAAACCCTGGAAACAGTGTTTCATATACATTATACATATATGGTTACATATACATTATACAAACAAGGTGACATATACATTATATGTAATATGAATAGTACATACATACATGTAAATATTACAGCAAGTTATGTTTACATACCTTGTTTGTTTTTGAAAGGATCTCTAGTAGTCCAACCTGAAGATGACTTTGAATTTCTGATCCTTCTACCTCCACTTCTCAAGTGCTTACAGTCAAGGCCAAGGGCATCATATCAGTTTATGCAATGCATAGATTGACCTCAGAGTTGCCTGAGTGCTCAGCAATCACTCTCACCACTGAGATACAACACCAACCCTACATATCTTGATTTTTTTGATTGTTTAATACTTCCTTTGGCTGTGGAATGCACTACACTGTGAATTTACCTGCTTGGAGGTTGATATACAAGATGCTTACTGATAAATTCAGACACAATGGGCCCAGTTCCCCTATGTATAAAATAAAATTAAAACTGCTATTGGCCTCAAAGCTTTCCAAAGAGATTGAACAATATACTGGTTGGTTTTATGTGTCAGCTTGACACAAGTAGTGTCACCAGTGAGGAAGGAGCCTCAGTTGAGGAAATGCCTTCATGAGATTCAGCTGTAAGGCATTTTCTCAATTAGTGATCATTGAGGGGAGGAGGCAGCCCATAGTGGGTGGTGCCATCCCTGAGATGTTGGTTCTAGATTCTATAAGAAAGCAGGCTGAGCAAGCTATGAAAAGCAAGCCAGTAAGCAGCACTCCTCCATGACCTCTGCATCAGCTCCTGCCTCCAGGATCCTGTTTGAGTTCCTCTCTTGACTTCCTTCAACATGAATAGCAATATGGAAAGTCAAATAAAGTCAAATAAAGTCTTTCCCTCCCCAACTTGCTTTTTGGTCATGGTGTTTTGTCACAGCAATAAAAACCCCAGGACAAGTTGGTACCATCATAATGGGTTATTCCTGTGACAGACTTGACCATGTTTGGGGGAAGATTGTGGAAGGCCTTTAGAACTTTGTCTAGAAGAGCCGTTGAATGTTAAAAGCTCTGTGGAATCTTGGAAGATAGGACTATCTGGAGTAGTTCAGAGGATGGAGGTCTGACTTTTGAAGTTTCAGAGGGAAGTTTAAAGACTGTATTGACCATTTGTTATTTTGATTTAAGATTCTGTGGTGCTAGTTAGCTGGGGCTGAAGAACCAGCTGTGATGAATAAGAATCCAGAACTACTAAAGTGAAACCTTTGTGTTACTGGGATACTTGTTGCTGGTTGGCTAGATCTGAGAAATTAGCAATGATTAGGAAAAGACCAGCATCACTGAGCTGAAATCTTCTGAGAAGTGTTTCCTGAGAGTACAGAGAAGCTGTGTTCCAGAGGTGGCCAAAGTTGTACCTCATGCTGACAGCTGGTCTTGGTAATGTGCATGAGTCACTTAGGTGGTACTGGTTTTGAAGGATTGAAGCAGCCATGCAAAGAAGTTGAGGTTTGGAACCACGAGGAGAACCATGAGAAGCTATTGGTGAAAGTGTGACCCACTTGCAGCAGTGACCCCAACGTTTTGGAGATTCCAGGACCATGGGATGACCACCAAGAATAGCAGCAGCAGTGGAATAGAGCCAGCCAGAGCCTGGAAGACATGCTATGGGTGTTGTAGAGGGCAGAGCCAGGGAAGTGACCCAAGCCCTTTGGAGGAGCCCAGAAGACTGTTGAGTAGATCCCAGACATTGGATGGTTGGGATTTTGATTTGCTTTGATTTGATTGTGACTGCCTTTAAAATTCCCTCTTGAATGGAAGAAAGTATTTTACTGAAGCTCACAATTGAGAGACTTTGAATTAAAAAAAAAAAACCTTTGGATTTTAAAAGAGATTGTCTATTTTAAAGGGACTGAAATTTTAATGTGTTTGAATTTGTAAAGACTGTGGGACTTTTAAAGTTATTTAAGATCTTGGGAGTGAATATAAAAGGAAGAGTCATCAAACTAGAGTCATCAGAAAAGAAGGAGCTTCAATTGAGGAAATGTCTCCATGAGATCCAGCTATAGCGCATTTCCTTAATTAGAGATCAAATGGGGGAGGGACCAGCTTATGGTTGGTGGTGCCATCCCTGGGATGGTGGTCCTGGATTCTCTAAGAAATCCAGTAAGGTTGAGCAAGCCAGTAAGTGGCACTCCTCCATGGCCTCTGCATCAGATCCTGCCTCCAGGTACCTGCCCTGTTTGAATTCCTGTCCTGACTTCCTTTGATGGTGAACAGTGATATAGAAGTATAACCTTAATAAACTCATCCCCAAGTTGCTTTGTGGCCATGGTGTTTTGTCACAGCAATAGAAACTCTAATGAACACAAACAGAGTTTGCATTAAAAATGTTGGGGGGGGGATCTTGGCACCTTCTAGTGATTTTAGTGCTGGTATTTGTATTGTACTTTCCCTGACTGGATCCATCCTGTACAAAGCTACCAGTTTACCAAGTCAGTATGTATCTTTCCTGCTGCCTTTCAGAGCAAATTTAACATGTTGCTCCATGTGGCTTCATAATTGTGTTCTCACAGTTTAAACAGCCCAAGTCTTGGCATAGCCCAAGTCCTCTCTACTTTAGTTCAGGTATGGGCCATCTCTTCGGGCTGGTTGTATACTGTGCTTTCTTGGAATTTTACTTTTCACGGGGCTGGCTGAGTTCGCAATACAAAATACAAACTCAAAAACATTGTTACGACTTTCAACCCCATTTTAAAAGGACGATATTAGAATGTGTTCAATTAGTGAGAATATAGTCCTAGTTATTGCCAGACTTAATATGAACCACTAACTTCCAAACTCATTAATGTGTTTAATTTTTTTCCTTTTGATCTTTACTCCAAAGAAATGGAATGCAGCTAGGCACCTTCTGTGAGGTTAGAATGGCCCTGCAATTTAGTGCTTGCTAAACTGCAAAAACACATTTATTTCTCCTAAGAGTAATTTGTGGTTTCCTCCAAAGATGAGATGTATTTACCTGGCCCTTAGTTGTTTTGCCCTTTTCTTTGGCAGTTTTACAGTTTTATTCATCACTCTTCTAGTTTTGGACCATAGAAATAGTTAGACTATTACATTAAAGATGGAGTCAGTAACAGGAGGGCTACCTCAGGAAACATGAAATTTCAATTTTACCTTCATACATTTAATGTTGTAATTTATAGGGAAGTGAGTTTGGGGGTAGTCATTTAATTTTATGGGGCAGAGTTTTTTCCCTCAGTATAGAATAGTGTTGAAAATCTGTTAGTCTGAAGACCTTTTCTTTTTTCTTTTCCTTCCTTCCTTCCTTCCTTCCTTCCTTCCTTTCTTTCTTTCTTTCTTTCTTTTTTTCTTTCTTTCTTTCTTTCTTTTATTTTTTTTTTTACTTAAAGGAATTTTGGCTGACATTAGCCTCCCATTTCTTTGGGAAGAGATATGCCAGTGAGGAAGATATCTGATGAGGGATGGATCAGCTAAGGCTTCCTGCTCAGGCCTCTGTTGAACTCAAAGGTTTCTAAGTAAAGACTGCAGATTGTCACTTCTTAGCTTTACATTGTTATTTTAGTGTTTGAAGGGTAAAGAAAATGCTGACCTTGAAGTTTATAGGGATCTTTTTATTTTTTTTAATGTTCTCTGATTTTTGGCACATTTATAAAATGTGGGATGATTTGATGTTATTTGATCCTTTAGCTAGACCCTTGTAATGAAATTGCTCCAGCCTCCACACCTGTGGCAATGAGTGTTTTCAAAAGTTTTCCAATTCAAGTATAGGTTGCATATTCAAGGAAAAGTGTGTTTTTCAGTGTGAGAGAAACACACAAGAACATGGAAAGAAGCTAATTTGATGGTAAACATTGATGTTCTGGTACAGCAATATGTGACCCATTCTAGTGATTCTCAGATCTTAACCTTTAGAACAGCTAACATTTCAACTTCACTCTTCATGATTCTGTCTTCCCTGGCTCATGTTAAATATCAGTCAGGTTCTTTAACCACAGATGAAATAATGTCACAAACAAGATTCACAGTATCTTAAGGTATCTTAAGAGTTAAAACCCTATCATTCCTGAAGTTTCCTATTGAGTAATTGATACCCATGAGATTCTTCAGAAGATCAGGTCAGAAATATTACAGTTCATCCCTTAAATGGTAGTGAGAGAATCCAGGATTCTGGAGATGGAATTCAGATAGCACACTGTAGCTAGCCTTAAAATAACACAGGATTGATATAAAAAGGAAAACATGGAACTATTTAATTGATAATCAATTTCCTTTACCCATATATTTAATTTTTAGCAAGAAAAGCCTGCTAGTTTGCATTCAGTTGCTATGATAAAAACACTCTGAGCAAAGCAGCTTAAGGGTGGAAAGGGTCCATTTGATTGACACTTCCAGGTCACAATCCATCATTGAAGTGAGACAGGGCAGCAAAGAATATGGAAGGATGCTGCTCATCCTGGCCATATTGACCTCCTCAATAAAATCTCCCACGTTCTGAGGTGTAGAATTCCATGGAAGCCTAGAGGGTTGTGCCTGTCAGGGGTGGCTGTTG